TCTAAATGGTACTAGAACACAGCATTTATTAGCTCCCAAATCAACTCCCAAGCCACCGAAGCGCTCTGCTGCATGACGCGTGATGCCTGTACCCAGATGCCAGAACCCTTTGCTAGTGCTTAAAAAAGTAGCATGGAAAAGAGAAACTCACACGAGTACACATACTTATGTGCATGTACATGCATACAATATTTGTTTGGGGCTTCCACTCTACCCTTCAATCCTTCAATCTCCCCCACTGGCAACGCTTTTGAGTGCACTATTTTGGCAACAAAAAATGCTGAAAAGTCAGCGTTGGTGGTGGAGCAGAGAAATAATGCAAATGTGGATTAAGCCAAATGGGTCGGCAATCGGCTTTCGATTGGTTATTTGCCAAATGTAAAATGGATGATGCCGACTGAAGGATGCTGAAAAGTGTTGCCTGGCATGGACATGGGTTGCTACCCACAAGACTACATTCATAGTTAATTTTATTGTTCCCATTGAAATGGACAAGCGCCAGAAAATGTAATTCGATGGGGGCTTAGAGATGCAGCAAGGTTCGTACCATAGAGTCCTGTTGTAGCCACGCCACAAACAGTCCGAAGTCTTCAGTCTTTTGTTCGTTTGCGGCTTTTGGCGGGCAGCTGGTGCTGCTAATGTAATGAAGTTCTTCCACCGCTGCCGGACCCATCTCTCGTTATGCTGAACCTCCTTTTGGCGAACAATTTGCGACAATTGACTCAACGAGCCGGCACGCGTGGTTACCTCTGATGATCCACTAGACTCAAACTTATCCACTCAGCCACACACCCATATTCCAAAAGCCATCTAACAAGTGTCCACGAGGACTGTGGGGAAACTTTGCTGTGGTTCGGCTTTGTCTGGTAGTCTGTCAGTGACGAAGTGGGAGGTGGGAGCTGGGATAGGGATCTGGCAACGCAACGCAATTCAATTTCCGCCAGACAGACAGCTGCATATTTCCACTTGAACACTTGCATTTATCGCCTGTCGAAGCTGCAAGTTTATGCAGCATGCCCCAAAGGCATGGTTGCTTGGCGTTTACTGGATGCAGGATGCTGGATGCTCCTCCTGCATTGTGGGTCATAGTCATGCCTGACTTGTATCTATATACTCGCTGGTACATGCAGCTGTGTGCTTGCTGCTGCTTTTATTGCTCGGCCAGAAACTCATTTAAATAAGCAGCCAGTTGTGCCTATTTACGCTGAATGCCAGCAAACTACTCTTGCCATTATGTGCAGCATATTGAATGCACACTGTGCAACAGGATTTGTGGTAATAGTGGGACAGTAAAGTAGATAAAGATAATGGGTGGAGGAAGGAATGGTAGCTAATGCTCGGGGTACTGAGAGCTGTAATGGTTATTGGAGGCTTAAGATACACTCAGAATTATAAGAAATTATGTTATCTTATGTTTCCCCAATATAGTCAGAATGTAAAACATAATTTTCCCTGCATTGCTTCCCCCTCGAGTTCTGGCTCTATTTTTCCAGTGTGGCTTAGCAGCAGCAAATGAATAGCTCTCTGTAGCCTTCAGATTTTCTCTGCTCTGGCCCATAGTGCGTAGCATAGCCCCCCAGGAGCCATAGCTATAAGAGGATGAAGAGGCTGCCCACAAAACCAACAACAGCGCCAACAGCCCCTCAACTTAACCTCAATGAGTGCTGTGCGGCGTGCAACGTGGCGTATGTGTAACATGCGAGCTGGCGCTTGGCTACTTGTTGGATCTTCAAATATTTATGAAAAGCAAAAAGAAGAAAGTTTTTCCTTTGCTTGCAGCACTCTGCAGCAGTGGCTGACTTCACTTTACTTAACCCACAAATCTCTCTGCTCCTTCCCGCAGATGCACTCGAATCTGTGGATATTTATTTGGCGCCGCAAACTCTCCTTTCTGCTGCTAGTCTCTGGCGTTGTGCTGCTGGGTCTCTGGACATGGGCCATACTCATTGATACAACAGACACGCCAGCATCACTGTCGATTCCCTCAGCCAATGCTGAGGCCAGAGAACGCCAACAGCAGCAGCAGCAGCAGCAGGCCACAGGATATCAGCAGATTCACATCATCCAGAAGCTAATTGCCCAGGCCAATCGTGTGCTCAGAGCCGATCGCCTCAAGGACAACGCTGCAGGGGAGAAGGCTCCCACTGTACAGCGTGTGGGCAACGTGAGATTTCTGCGTCCCACCCAAGCCAAGAAGGCGCCACTACCGCTAGCCGAGAGTTACCTCTTCGAGCAGGAGCGTCTGAAGATACTCGAACAGCAGCAGCGCCAACGCAACGCCGGCATGGAGGAGCTCAATGCCAATGCAGAGGATGAGCGTATGCTCAGCTCAGCGGAACGCCAAACCCAATACGAGCACGAACTGCAGCGCATGGGTGTGCCCGTGGTGGCGGGCATTGGGCCGGACGGACCGCGTGCACCCAACGAGCGGTTGGTCCACTTGGACCTCAAGGGTGCACCGCCCAAGCTGAGCTTTCTGAAGCAGCTGCTGCCCATGCTGCGGGCGCTGGGTGCCACGGGCTTGCTCATCGAATACGAGGATATGTTTCCCTTTACAGGCGCTCTACAGCCGCTGGCCGCACACAATGCCTACAAGGCGGATGAGCTGAGGGTGAGTCTTTGGGACATTCTTTGACTCAATCTAATTTCCCATTTTCTGCAGGACTTTCTGGAATGCGCTGCTCTGCATGGCCTGAGTGTTATGCCGCTGCTGCAGACCTTTGGCCACTTGGAGTACGTGCTCAAACTTGAGGGCTTCGAGCAGCTGCGCGAGCTGCCTGAAAGTCCGCAATCCCTATGCCCCAGTCAGCCGCAGAGCATGGCGCTGCTGGAGCAGATGCTCACCCAGGTGATCGAGTTGCACTTGCAGTGCATTGGCAAGGCCACAGCCTCCGCGGCGCCCACACTGCCCATCAAGTTCACGCACATTCACATCGGCTGCGATGAAGTGCAGCGCATGGGCGAGTGCCAGGCCTGTCGCCAGCGTCTGCGCAGCGAGTTGTTCCTCTCGCATGTCGTGAGTCTTGCGCACTTTGTGCGTCGCCACTGGCCCCAGCTGGGCGTGGTCATCTGGGATGATCAGCTGCGTTCGATGTCGCTTGGGGAGCTGCAGCAGTCGCAGATTGGCAGCTATGTGGAGCCCATGGTGTGGGTGTATGCCAGCGATATCTACAGATTCATTCCACCCCAACTGTGGGACACCTACGCGAAGATCTTTCCCAGTGCCTGGGTGGCCTCTGCCTATAAGGGTGCCTTCGGGGAGAGCCTGCTGGTGCCGCCGCTGCAGCATCATCTGGAGAATAACATCCGCTGGCTGGCGGTCATCGCCAAGGAGGGGGGACGCTTTGCCAAGGGACTCCGCGGCGTGGCACTGACTGGCTGGCAGCGTTACGATCACTTTGCCGTGCTCTGCGAACTGCTGCCCGTGGGCATGCCCAGCCTGATGACATCGCTGTCGACCGTCGCCAAGGGTTACTTCAGCACCAATCCGCGGGACAACGAGCTGCTGCGTGTGTTGCAGTGCGTCTTTCAGCCGGACAGCCGTCGCTCGGGTCGTCCCTGGCTGGAACTCCATCCCAATGCGCATCACAGCCAACTCTTTGCCGTTTGCAACTATCCCGGCCACATGGTGCATAAGTTTGCTCTCCGTTTGTACGACAAACTGGCCGAGGTGGGGTTATATCTACAGCAAACGCGCGAGCAGAGCGCTTGGCTGTCCGACTACAATGTGCGGCATAACTTTAGTTCCCCACTGCGAGTGCACGAGCTGACGGCACGCACTCCGCTGCTGATTGATGAGCTGCGTGGCATGGCTAGAGAGGCGCAGCAGCTGCTCTGGGAGGTCTACGATGAGTACACGGTTTCCGAGTTTGTGGAGCAACACATCTATCCAACCATCGAGGCGTTGCGTCGACAATTAGCCAGTGGTGCGTCACTGCTGCAACGCCGCACCTGGCCACAGCGACCGCTGCCATTGACCCTCAAACTACAGGAGGAAATGGGCTTGGTCACGGATCACCAGCAGCCGCACTGAACACACACCGTGATACACCAATGTATAGTGATGGCGTTCGAAACGCCCCAAGAGCCCCCAAGCCATGGATAATAAGCGATAATTCGAATGTTAACAGCGCCGCAGCAGGCATTTCTCTTTCTACATCTGTACGTGCGAGTACGAGTCTATCTATAACTATAATTAACAGCATCAAATGTTCATTTTTTCTAGACTACTTTGTAAGCCAATGCTCAATTATACAACTAAAAGATCTAAAATAATCATATGATAATCACAAAATCTATAAAAAAAAGTCTTTAAATTTAATTTTAAATAGTGCGCTCAGCTGAGTAAAGCAGTTCAAATTGTGTGCGCAGTTCGAGCTGGCAGCGACCAAGCAGTGATGTTTTGGAGTTGAGGAAATGTGTTGTAGTGTTTTAGTGTTTGCTGTAAAGCAATCTCAGTGAAGTATTTCGGAGTATAGATACCGAGAGATGGAGATATATATATAGATAGGATATGAATGGGTTAAAAACATGTAAGTCTAATATAAAGTCAGGGCTAACGTTTAAAAGCAGCTTGGAAAACAGAATTTTAACATGAATTAAAGAAAATAGGGCATACATATGCCCATACTTTCGAATGAAAATCAACAAGTGGTCAAATGTAGCAAATTTCCGTTCCCACTTACTTTTTTTTAGTGTGAGCCTTGTTTTGTAGACAGTGCAAATGCAGAAAACACTAAAAACTAGCCAATCTTGTGTAAAATTGATTCATCATTGATATAAAATTATTGTTTTAGAGCTGAAAGTCTTAGCTTGCTAGTAATATTAAACAGAATAACAAAGTAGAGAAATATGATTTTTATTGGTATAAATTTAAGGTATATCTTAAGATATATTTTTGAGGGTCGGACGGTATATTATACTTTATCGATTAATACGATAAAAGCACTGATGAAAGCGCAAAAAGGACGAATATATGATAGAAGGGGGGAAGGAGCGGCAGAACAGAAACACACAGCGCAAAATCGATGAATAAACCTCAAAAGCGAAAACCGAAAAACGGAAAAGCTTAGCGTGCATAACACAAACTTAACTTGAAATTGTTCGAATTGATTTACAGCAGCCGAGGAGCTGTCAGGCCAGGACCTTTCCGCTGCAGATAAACTTGGGGGGGTCAAAACAGAAAGCAAAAATGGGTATTACAGAGACTGCTACAACAACAACCGGAATGGGAGCGGCAAATGGTGCAGCAAGCGATGACGAAAGCAAAGAGATCCTATCGCTGGAAGTTTTCCAGGAGTTGTTCAAGCACGTGGAACCAGATGTGGAAATCGACGCCCTTGAGGTAAAGTGTAAAAGAGATTTCAAGTATTGCTATGATGACACGTGGTCTTTGCAGCTGGCTCAGGGCTCGGACCGCGGCGACAATTATACGGCTGCCTTGTATCGCATAAATCTGAGTGGCAAGCGGCAAAGTCGCGACGGTAGCCAACACAAATGGACGCGAAGTGTCATATGCAAAGTTATGCCGGAGAGTGTGGCACAGCGAGAGGCCTACAAAAGCGACAAATTGTTTCGGTAAGTGGCGGAGATTTCCATGTAGATATTGCAAGCTTTTAATTTATTATTTTCCCCAGCAATGAAGTGGAATTTTATACCACAATCATGCCGGAATTGCTCAAGTTTCAGGCGAGCAAAACGGGGCGAGAGTCGCCAGTGTTTAATGCCATACCCAAGTGCTATACGGCCCGACATGATCTGTTAATAATGGGTAACTAAGTGACACCCTCCAAACCCTGCTTTCTTTATGCTAATTTTACCCGCATTTCACGCAGAGGATCTGCGCGAACGTGGCTTTCAGATGTCCGATCGTCACAAAGGTCTCAGCATGGAGGAGACGCAGTCTGTGCTGCTGCAGGTCGCCCAATTACATGCCCTCAGTTTGGCCTACAAGTTTGAGCATCCGCTGGAGTTTGCCAAGCTGTGCAGCCTCATCAGCGAGGGCATCTTCTGCACAGCCAACACGAGTTGGTACAGAAACTACTACGAGCGTCTGACAAAGAACGCCGTCAAAATGGTTTCCGAAGTGCTGCCTGCCGACTCCAAGTACGTCCTTGCCATGCGCAATTTCGCCGAGGGCTCCTCCTTCTTTGGCCAAATGGTTAAACTGGCCAGCTCCGAGTCTCCGTTGTCCGCCATTTGCCATGGCGATTGTTGGGTTAACAATTTTCTTTATCACTACGATCCGGAGGATCCGCAGCGTGTGCTGGAGGTGGCGCTGATAGATTTCCAGCTAATACGTTACAGTTCCATTGCCTTGGACATTGCCAATTTGTTGTACTGCTGCACCACAAAGGAGATGCGCGATGCGGAACTCAAGACGTTGCTGAAAATCTACACGAATGAGCTGTTCAGATGGCTGGAAATTCTGTGCACTGATCTGCCCGAGCACTGCAATACGCTGGAAAAGCTGCAAGAACTGTGAGTTAGAGAAGGGAACCAACAATTTAATTTATTTATTTATCTTTATATTCCTTGAAGCTTTGCTGAGGAACTGAAAGCCTATGGACGCTTTGCCCTGGGCCTGGCCATGGACATAATACCCATAAGTACATGCTCTTCGGAGGATGCACCGGATATGTATTTGAATCGGAACGATGAGCCCGAGGAGGAGGATGAGGGTGCGCCCATGCTCAACTTTCCACCCAACGATCTGTGCCGTCAGAAAATGTCCGAAATAGTCATCGATATGGTCGATGGGGATATGCTTTAGAGTTAGCTCTCGGCAGCTGCCCAAAATCACACACCAAATTAATGATAACTCAGTTAACCAATAGGTAGCCTAACTCTAGTTACCATTAGGCCTAGCAATACTTTATATGATTAGTGGGTACTGCCTGTGGTGCCCAACGTTTCTCTAGCAGCCAAGTGGATTGAAGCAATACGTTGCCAACGGGGAATAACTTTATATTGCATTTGTTTTATGTTTTCTGTATTGGATTATCAGTTTAAGTAACCCCAACGATTCGAAGCCGAATTAGTTAGAATTATAAACTCTTTGGAGTTGCCTTTATGGGTTAGTTCTTCAATCAAACAATATGTACGCTTTGTTCTAGCTGTTGCCATTATATTGTATAATTAACTTACATTTGTTGGACCTTAGCTCAAAGTACCCCCCGGACGACAATAGACAAACTTGTCCGAGTTCGCATATTGTGTGTGTTTTTCTAACGTATTCTTTACACAAAGCAATAAATTATAAACCAAAATTAATAATCCGCCTTGGCTGTCCAGCTGGCCTTATTGGTGATCGCCTCCTTGTCACAGCAATTGCGTAGAAACTTCAGGCCAGCTTCGATGGAACGTTCCAGCTCGTTCTGGGATCTGGACACCTTTGCGGCAGGTGGCCCCATGTCATTGAGACCCGGAGGTGGCGGTATGGCAGCGCCTCGACTGCCCGAAGAGGTAGACGGTGCATCATCATCAATGTCATCGCTGGGATTGGTGTAGTTACGTCGCTGGAATTGTTTCTTGCTGGAATTGAAATTACTAAATTCCTGTTCTGGAATATCCCACAGTGGCGGTGGCTCTGGAATGCTACTGAAGTTGCTGCGTTTCAGCGGCTCTGGCAGGGGAGCAAACTCCTCCCTACGTTCGGAGCGCTGTTTGTCGTTCCACTCCGCCTGCGACATGGGCAGACGTTCGGCTTTGTATTCCCACTCTTCATCCGACTCTTCCGCCAGCTTCTCCTTGTCCCAATCACGAACATAATCCTTTCGCAGCTCTGCACGTTCTGCCTCTTCGGCTTCTCGCGCTTTTTCAAGCGCCTCTTTCTTTTCGCGTTCTTTGCGCTCCCGTTCCACCGCCTCGGCCGCTGATTCGTCTTTCTTTTGCTGCAGCTCCCGCTCGTAGTCCTCCTTGCTGATGGGCGGCAGACCACTGCGTGCCCGTATGCGGTTCTTAGCAGCCAGCACTCGACCAGCCACCATGCTGTCCCGCTTGGCTCTCAACTCGTCGCGACGAATCTGCTCCTCTGTTGTGGCCTTGCGGGCCTCCTCCAGCTCCCTTTGCTGCTTGGCGCGCTCTTCCTCGTCTGTGGAGAACGCGTAGTAGCCCACACCATGGGTGCGTGCCTCATCGAAGAAGACATCTTGGTAGTGCACGTCTGGCTTCTCGGCATTCTCCTGCTCTTTGCGCTCCCAATTCAGCAGCTGCTCAGTGTGGTGGGTCGCTGTGGACTGGTCATCGCTAAATATGCTGCCGGGGGGACGTGGTTTCACATTAATCGACTCCTGATCCTCCTCCACATCGCCCTTGGTGTCTATCATCCAGTTGGCCTTGGTTGTATCAATGCGCTCCGGCATGCTGTGGGCCAGCTGCTTGTCACGTTTCTTTTCCTCTGCCAATACCTTGCGGAGACACTTCCTCGTGCGGCCCAAGCAATCAACGTACTCCACTTCATCGTCGTCGTTGCCCTCACCTTCGCTGGAGCTGCTTGAACTGCTGCTCACCCGCCCTGGAGGCGAACAAGTCTGTGGCTCGTCGTCGTCGTCGTCTAGGTCTTCCTCCTGGCGCTTCCGATTGAACATCACGAGGCAGTTGTCGTCCGAGTTGAGGTTGCCACCACTGCGACTCATACGATCGTAGTACTTGCTCTTGGCTTCCAGCACACGCCGTGACTTCGCCAGCTGCGCATGATCCTCCTCCTCATAGACTTTGGCGTCCTCATTGCGGCTCACTTCCTTGTAGCTGTTCGATTTGGGCTTTTCTTTCTCGATGACGACTTTTTGGGGCTTGTGTTCACCGGCCGACACTTGGGCCGCCTTGGCCAGCTTCACTTCATGCTGCTTGCGCAGTAATTCTGCCTTCAGGCTGAGCAAAGATGATAAATTTACCGAAATCGCTTTGTTTGGGTCGTTCATTTCGAAATTTCAAGCATTTACTAAGCCAGAAAGAGATGGTAAGTGCTATCAGCTGTTGGAGCATAGTTGGCAACCGATATCGATAATACTATCGTTGGTTTCTCAGCTCTAGCAGAAATAAAAATATTTATTTACATTTGCAATGTCTGCTTCTGGTGAGGATTTCCAAGTGGTTACCAGGAAAAAATGGATAGCACGCAAATGCTTGGGGCGGCGGGATCGCCACAAGTCCGAGACTGACTATTTGAATGACTGCCCCGATGTGAATGTCGACAAGTTTAAGGAGTAAGCGTGACCCAGACGTTGCTTCAAATCTAAACCCAAATCTAAACCAATTCTAGTCGCCTGGAGCGTTTGTGCACAAAAATGTCACTAAGCGACTACTTTATGCTGGCCATGGAAACGCTGCAGCAGCAGTTGGATGTCCTAAATAGACCGCTGGAACGCATCGTCTGCCTGGGTCTGGGGCCGTTCTCTCGCACCCACATCGCCCTGCATCAGGCGGCCTTTGTTGTCAGCTTGCAGCGACACTACCAGCTCAAGGAAGCCCTTTACTTCGATCCTGTGTTCAGGGAGAGCGAGAAGGAGCTGCTGCGTCTGTTCGATGGCAGTGTCATAGCCGAAGACTGCGCGGGCAAGCACGAGGCGACAGTGCCCACAATTTACTATCTGCCACACTGCCCTTACCCACTGATGCACAACATATTGTGGCGCAACTGGACTAGGGATACACTGCCCAACGTACTACTGATTTCGAACAGTTTCGAGATGCTGACAATGGCGAAAAAAACGCCCAAAGATCACATCAATCAGATACTCGAACACTGCACAGAGATCCCACTGGAGGACGACTACGAGCACCACAATGTCTTCAATGACTTGTCATTGCACACATTTCCCTGGAACAGTCTGCCCGAGAGCGATGATGAAACATTTTGGACACGCTACGCACCGCTGAAAGTGAATGAAGACGAGCTGACCATCGAAACGGAGGCAAAAACGGAGCATTGATTGGTTTTAGGTTAATATTTAAGTTAAATTAACATTTTTGTACATTTAAACAGTGCAGCAGGATGGTCTCTGAGGCCTCTCACAGACCCATAAATTTGTCCAACTCTTTGTCAGCATTTTCAACATTTTTCGCCGCTTGCTTCTTTTTCGCCTTGGCTCGCAGCTTCTGCGCCCGTTTCGTTTTTTGTCTCTGCGCCTCTTTTTTGGCTGCGACTCTCCAGTTGATTGGCTGTCGTTGTGGCTCAATGGCGGGCAACTTATTGCGCCGTTTCACTGGCTGGCGTTTGGCATTAGTTGGAAATAGGCAGGGCAGCAGCTGCTGCTCTTCATGCAGCCGGCTGCAGAGTGTCGTCGAGATGGGCAAGTAGCTGCTTTGGCTGAGGAAACATTCATCACTAGGCGCTGTGCCCGTCAGCAGTTCGTGCAGCATTAAGCTCTGTGGTGTGGCCTCCTGTATGGGTTTACACAACAAAAACTTCTCCTTGTGCTTGGCTGAAGTCCGCAGCAAATACTCCCCCGGTGGAATAGCATTAAAAAGTTTGAGAAATTCACATAAATGGGAGAGCAACTGCGGCATGCTCGTGTTGTAGTAGTCGTTCAGCGTCTTTTCCAGCGCTGCCAGTGTCAGCTTCTCCTCGAGCATTGGCTCAAAGTCACGCAACGAAACGCGACTGCAGTGCCCGACATCCGCTTGGAGCAGCTTCAGTTGCAGCCAGGCTTTGAGCAGCTCATATTTGGACATAATCTCGCAGCCGCAATCGGGTTTGTTCTCCAGCTTGATGAAGTGACAGCCAAGTGGCTGCTTGCCCTGCGCATCGCACACTGCTGACAGCGTTATGCTGCTATAAATTTGAAAGTCTTCACGAGAGTCGACAGCAGCATCATCACCGTCCCCCTGGCAACTTAGGCACCAGCTAATCATGGCAATGTTCGAGTTAACAGGCTCCAAGGCAGCCGATTCCATGTCTACTTGTTGCAGTTTGTAATCCATTTGCAGATCTACAGCTAAGTTTGCAGCTGAGGGTAGAGCTGGGTCATGTTTTAGCCTGCCATTCTGATCAAACGTAAGCCACTTGTCCTCCCCCGGCTGCGCCTTGTACACCTGATAGGCTTGAGTCAGCAGCAAACCGCTGGTGTGCCAGCCGCAGTTGCGCGCTGGAAAGGGTTCGTGAAATTCAATGCATCTGCAGTCACTGCCAGAAGTTTCTTTGATGGTTAGCAACATTTCCGTGGGCAAATCCACATATGCGCCGGTGGTCAACAGCATCAGCAGCGATTCCAAGGGCAGCACGAAGATGTTGGACTCTTCCGGCTCTGCCAGCATTGGCATTGCTGGGTAGATGGTTTCTATGCCCGCATAGCGACCCAAACGCACATTCAGTGTCATCAGTTCCTCGCGTTTTAGCTGCAACTCCGGGCACAACCTCACCTGGCCCACAATCCGCAGCAGCTGCACATCCTCCACGCTGACGGTCTGCGGATTGAGGCTCTTGCATTGGCCCAGCTGTGGCAGGCCTGAGTACGTGACATAGCACTCATTGGGTACGTCCTTTAGCAGCTGTTTCATGCGCCGCTCATGCCACACTTTGTAGGCCTGAATAATCCGCTTCAGTGGCGCGTAGAGCTGCTCCCGCTGAGTCGTTTCATGGTCATGAACATCTTTTTGGAACATTTGATATTCCGTGCAGCGTTTCTTCTCGGTGACGCGCCATATCACAAAATCTTCCTCGGGTACACGTTCGTTACGTTGCCATGCCAGAAGCACCCTGACACACGCCGTCTGTTGTTTGCGATTCAGCGCGGAATGTTTCTCCCTAACATTGGGAAACTTGTAGTGCAGCAGGGGACTTGAGTGGTCCCTTGTGGATTCACCTGCAGGTTGTCGTGTGCGCGGGTCCTGTGGCGCCGAGTTGTTGCTGTACGACGTGAAGACTGTCGAGGGACCTTCCAGCTCTTGCCTGAGCACCTCCGGGTTCACTTCGTTCAAATATGTGTAGAAGGAATCGTCCGCATTCTCAAATGATTTGTTAAATACCTTATACGATGGTTGGTTCTGGAAAATTGAATTTCCCTTGTACAAACTCGGCTCCATGTCCTATCAAATTAAAAAATTCGAGGAAATCCAAAAATGTACGCGTTGTTTTGAGTGCCACCCATTTCCGATAATTTTATCTGTTGCTATCGGTAGTGCAACCCTAATTTATTTTGAATAGAACATTTAAAATTCCCATAACTAAGGCAGCGCTATTAATTTGTATGCAACATTAACTTTAAAATTATATTGAAATAGTTTAGATATAGTCTAATATAAGTTGGCCAAAATGTTCACTTGATTGCTAACTTTTGAGTGACAATGATGTACCTGGGACAAGTGGTTCTGTTTATTTTGCCAGTTTTGTGCGCCGCTGCATTCAATTACACGAGCTGTGATCAGGCAAAACAGCCCAAATTTGTGAGACTCTTAACACATTTTACCCAGTTCATGGTTTTCTTTAGTTAATTATCCTTTAGATGAGCTCCTGCTGCGATGTTCAACGTAACGATCAGGCCATCAAAACCTGTCGCAAATCCTTGCTATCCCGAAACGCGACCACCACAAACAATGGCGAGTCGCGGAATCTTAAATCGGATAAAGTGGCGCTGCATGCGGTGTGTAAGGACACAAATGGTGTATAGAACTATTAAAGACAAACATTTTCAGTGCATAGCAGAGTGTGCCTTCAAGGCGAATGGATTTTTACTGACCAATGGAACCGTGAACGTGGCAGCCGTGCAGCGAAGCTACCAGCAGCGCTACAAGAACGATGCGAACATGTCTCAACTGATGGTAAGCAGCCTGAATAGCTGCGTGGATTATGGTAAGTGTGGAGCACCATACCATGACCTACTCTAATCCACTTTGAAACAGCGAAAAAGCGCACCCAGCAATACCAATGGATGCACACGAAGGGGGAATGCGACTATTATCCTGCCACCCTGCTGGCCTGCACTTTGGAACAGGTTTACGTCAAGTGTCCCGCCACCAAATGGAAGAACACAGACGAGTGTGCAGCGATGCGCAAATATTTGATTGCCTGCGATGATGTCAAGGGCAGCAATGGCAGGAAGTAATATTAAACAATAAATTATGCATAACCAAATCATTTACAGAGCATACAGAAATATTTGTCCAGTCTATTCGCCACAAACTTGAAACTTAAGCGTGGCAAGCTCGGCCATGCCGCACTCAATCTCATCGCCAGCTTTGAAAGCATCCGAACCATTGGGCGTGCCCGTCAGTATCAGATCATTGGGCTCCAGCGTCATAAACTTGGACACGTATGAAATGATGTCGGGCACTTTGAAGATCAAATCCGCGGTGCAGCCCTTTTGCTTCACTTCTCCATTGACCTTAAGCCACAATGGCAGCGTGTGTGGATCGTCCACGTCATCGAAGGGTATAAATTTCGAAACGGGCGTGGAAGTATCGAATCCTTTGCCCAAAGTCCACGGCTGACCAGCAGCACGAGCGGCAGTCTGAAGGGAAAACCAGATTACTCGATGATTGGAATAGAAGAAAACTAAATCCTCACCAGATTACACTGCGCAGTTAAGTCCAGTGCCAGGCAATAGCCCGAAACATACTTCATGGCATCCTGCTTGGTGACATTCTTACAGCGTGTGCCAATCACCACGCCCAGCTCTACTTCATAGGCCACTTTGGAGAACACTTTGGGCAGCTGAAACACAAGAAAAGAAAATTCCCAAATTAGCTGAAGGCCAATCATTTGACGCGCTGATAACTCACGATTATCGGATGACCCTCGCGCAGATAAGATGATGTGGGCTTGAGGAAAACCAGCGGCTCCTTTGGCACTGGCACATTTCTAGCCTTCACAACGTCCCTGCATGGACGTTACAAGTTGAAGATTATCAACATTTAGATCAGTGTAAAGATTTACATGTAGTTCAGGGCCACTCCGACGATCTTCTTGCCATCGCGCATAAAGTTGGCCGTGTCTTGATTGCGAACAGCCATTAGAAAGCGAGCCGTTAATCGAACCACTGGAAGAAGT